CATTTTTGACAGTGTCTTTTTTATTCAAAACTCCACTGTCGATCCTACAAAAACATTAAATTTTACATTACCATTACCACACAAAATAAAAAATATCTCACCCTGCTTTATCAGCATTTTCATATTTAACCTCATGATATTCAACTTCGATTTTCGTCTCAAAAATGGCTTCATCATCATCTTTTTCTTCATCCTCATTACCAAGGGAATTTGTATCATCTCCTTCAGAAAAATCATTATCCCTTTCTTCTATCTTAATATTGCATAAGGAATGTTCACTTTCATCACTATCGTCGATTTTAGATCTAAAATTGAAATAAATATATTTTTTTTAAAGTCAAAAAATAGCATGGTATGTATTTGGTATGTACTTTAATTAAAAATATAAACTTGCGTTGAAAATTCTTACTCACCCCGATTTTGTTCGTCGGTTATATTTGTTTCTTTCAACTTCTTCATCTTCAGGAGTGTATGAAGAATCTTCATCAGCAGAAAAGTCACTTTCTTTATCGCTACTATCATCAACTCTAAAATTATGAGTGTGTATAATTAAATATATAGTTTGTTTGATATAAACTAGGTATTTTTTATGAAGTTGTTAATATATTGTAAAAAACTTTTTTTTAAATCCAATCGTATAAGTCATATGACTTTATATAAAGTCTCTGGTTGTTATTGTGGTTTCTCTGGGGCTACATAAAGAGTTTAGCCTATCAGGTGATTGTTATGTCGTCACGTAATGCGTATACTAGCGACGTGATTGGTCAACAGCAAATACCGAGTTTTGCATCCGACAGGAAGAAACAAATACCTAGTTTTGAATCTGCGTTAAGTTTTTAAATGTATTTTAATCTACAGATACTAACTTATACATCTGGTTTACTTAAGTATGCTGTAGGCAGTGCAGTAATGTACATAAATAGGATTTTTAAATAAATTGGTAGGTAGTTTTTTTACAAAAGAGAGGAAGGCAGAAGTCTTACCCGACAAATTTTGTTCAATTGCACAGCTAAATCGCGCACGTTATTTGTGTTTTACGTTGCAAGGAAAAAATTAATAAAAATTTTTAGTACTCGATTTTAATTGATTATTCCTTATATCATTGATTAAGAAACTCAACGCTCAATGCTTATATCGTTACGTTAGTGTGTGTATTTTATCTAAGGGATCATGGTGAATTATGGTGTTTTTAATTGCAAATAAAATTCAAGAACTAAATCGTTGCCTTTTCATGTTTTTCAAAAGGATCCAATTCGGTAAGTACATTTGTTGGCGCAGAATTAACTAATAATAACTTTACCTGATATAATTTATATTTAAGTTTGGACATTTTTAAGAAATCAGTAAAAAATAATTTTTTGCATAAACATAACCTTAAAATCAACCATTTTTCTAAAAAACGCCGACAACTGCATTTTAACAAAAACAAAATATACCTACGAATTCATGGCAACATAATATTATATACAGGGTGTCCTATAATTAGCGTGCAAGCAGATTCTACGTAAAAAAAAAAATAAAAAAAGTTCCTATAAAAATAGGTCGAGAAATTATTTCCAAGGGAGCTACAGCCCCCGAAAGAGGAGACCCTGAAGATGGTTTTTATTTAATATCTCCAAAACTGTTTAAGATAGAAAAGTGAAATGCTAAAAAGAACCGTTACGAATACTTAAAAACGGCAACACTGTGTACAACGCACGCTCCAAACAGGGTTGGGTATCTACCTACATTTTTGTTTTCGACATGTAGAAAACCTTTTTTGACGTTTTCGACGGTAGAAAACGTAAAAAAGTAGAATACTGTCAAATATCAAAAAATGTGAGGTTATGCAAGTTTGTTGTTTATTATGATTTGTTAAATGTTGTGAAAAACCAGACACCTACCATAAATTTGAAGTTATTTGAGTTTTTTAACATTATTATGGTGGGAAAAAAAGGGCCACGTTTGGTTGGGAGACCCCAACATAATTTTTGGCATGAGGGCAAATTTTTATCAATTATAGAGAAGTGGAAGGAGAAGGTCGAATAAGGTAATTTACGTAGGTAGAAAACCCTATAGGTTTTCGACGCAAGTCGAAAACAAGTTTTCTACCCTTTTCTACCAAGGTAAATTACCTATGGTTTTCTACTGACCCAACCCTGGCTCCAAAAGAAGTATAACCTCAAAAATGGTCTAATAAAATGTAATAAAATTAAAATTACTCACATTGTGACAACTTCTTTTCTACTTCTTCTGGATCTCCTAACTTCATTATTATTTATTTTACTTTTTGAATTCTCTTTGGATTTTTCATCACTTTCAGATGTGACCTCTTTGTTGTCATCATCATCAACATCTGTATCACTTGCTTCATTTTCCTTATAACTTTCTTCAACTGCAGTCCTAAAATTTAATTTATACAGGGTGTTATTATTATTATTATAATTAAACAACATATTTATGTGGGTAAAAAATCGTTAAAAAATAAATAAATTTATTCTGTTCCTTTTAAAATTAAATAAACTAAACATGGGAAGGGCAGCCACAAACCCAAACATTTAACAATATTTTACTTACTCAACCAAACAATCTTTTCCACATTCTTTATTACTATTTCCTTCAATATTTTTTGGTTCAACAGAACTTTGTTCTTTTTCAGATAAGTTAATTAGAGTGTCCACAAGAGAATGATTTTTCTTTTCTACATCGATAGACTCTATGAGGTAAATACTATCCTCTGTGACAAAATCATCAAATAAATGTACCTCTTCCTCTTCCATGGGATTATTTACTGCAAAAAATTTAAACATTGCAAGTGACCAAAAATTGCTATTTTAATTTTATTACCATAGCAAAGAAAATATTTTCTACTTTCAAATATTCAGTAAACACAAACCACATATTAAGTTAATTACCTATATATGATGTTAACCTCAAAATGTACATACCTACACATATATTTATTAATAATAAATTACCATTTATAATATAATATATTATGATTTATTTATAGTATAATTTATATAAGGTAAAACTATTTTAAAATTATAAACCAAACAAATTTAAAAAAATATTCATTTCCAAAAAAACAAATAAGGGGTTGAGTCAAAGACCTGTTCTGTGGTCAAGGCCAACCCATCATGTCTTTTCAATTAGAGACCGGATTCCATGCAATAATATATTCGGTATTGTGCGATATTTCAAATACGTTTACGGAAAAAAACGGGTAGGTAATATTGAACTATTGTGCGAATTTATCCTACCATTTTTAAAATTCATCCCACCGTAAAATTTTCGTTATTTTGAAATTTTAAAAAATTCGAAAATTTTTGAGGTTTTGTCAATTTTAAAATTTTGAAAACTGATTATTAATTTTAAGATTTTTGTATGCCGTTTCCAAAATAAAATTTTTGTTAAATATTTTGTTACGAAAACCACAATCCACACAACAAGGTCTGTTCTATCTTTATTCGCGCATGTTAAAAATCACAAAATTAGGCAACCTAGTATACATTCATACGTTAGTTGCCATTTTTATTGTTTACAATTTTATTGTTTGCAATTATTGTGATGTTTTATGCGGATTTGTAATAGTTGTTTGGTTTTGTTCTTTATTATTGTGGATTATAGTGTAAAGTACTTTGGTTAGTGTTTAAAAATTCTTCTTTTGTTAGTGTGCTTCTGTTATTTTATTGGATTATTGTGGATTTTGTTGACTGTACCAGTGTACTTGTATTTATTGTGCAAAAAATATTGTTTAACCAGTAAGTAAAACTATGGTAAAATGTTTCTCCTATTTATATATAAATTTATTTATTTAGTGGCATGCTGTATGGTAAAAACTTGCAAGAATAATGGCAGAAATAGTGATTTCACATTTTACAAATCTTAAATCTTAAAATCAAATGTTAAAAAACATTTCCAGTTTCTTTAAAACTTAAAAAAAAACTTTGTTTACTTCTTCCATGCCTTTTAGACAGAATTACTATTTTGGGTAATTTAAATTAACGGCGGCAAATAAATCAAATATGGCGGTAGCCGTATGTGCGCATAACAGTACCGATTTTCGTTCGTATTTTAAGAAGATCGAACAGACCTTGTTGTGTGGATTGTGACGAAAACCACATGTCAAATTTGAGCGATATCAGAGCATTTTTTTGGATAAATGGATCCGCCATTTTTTTTTTGTAATAATGGAAAAAAATACATTATTTGGGAAAAAGGGACATCAAATACATACATATATATACGATTTGGATAAAATTTTGTGTTTACCTATAGGTTAAGAAATTTTGTTTTATTTTTTTTTTATTTACAATAATTCTCGTATTAAATTACATTGTAAATTAATACGATAATTATAGAAAATTAAAAAAAAAATATTTTCCAACCTAATTAAAAAAGTCGCTGTAAATTTTACAATAATTATTATTCTCGTATTAACTTTGATAAAGAACCAGGCGCCACTGATATATGCTTAAATCTGCTTTATTAGCTTGGCCCTTGGACTCATGATACAAAGACAAAGATTATGGCTTGGACTGCCTCGTATCAACTGTAGAACGGAACTTACCCGAAATCGATTGGTCTGGTCAAAAATATTATTTTTGATACAGAATTTGTAGGTTCTTTTGCGTGATTGCAATTTATGGTGTACTTACTTTGTTTAATCCATGAAGGTGGCACAGTGTTATTAATTATTTATCTACACTCAGAGAAATATCATATCATAAAAAGCATATGAAATTATATTAATTTAAATAATCGGGTAAATTTGATTGAAATAAAAAAATTTGTAGTTTTATATTCATTAACCAACAGTTTTACAATGTTTTTAAACATGTTTTTATATTATATATTTTTTTCATTGCCTTTCTCAACGTTGTTTCAAAAAGATAATATCATATTATGTATTATACAATTGTTATACACCCATGACGCCTTTTTTCTCTCAGTGTATATATAGTATAGATAGTATACAAAAATACCAGTTTCCACCCAACTTTCAACTTCGAAAAGAGGTATGCCAATTATTGTTTAATAAAAATTAAACAATTAAACTTAAAAAAGGCATGAAATTACTTTGTAGGCTACAAATTTTAGCGACAAAGTAGCGATTCTCAGGGCGGCCGGTAGAGATTTTCAATCTGGTCTACCTGGCAACAGTGGATTTCAGTTACATATGGCAATGTTGCCCAGCAACTGCTGGTGGTTCCCCCATTTCCCACTTCGTAGAATTTAAATGTTAATACGTGGCTACATCAATTCATTGATAACATTACACAGAGACTACTCTGTGTAACATTCTTTTATCTTCAATATTCGTGGGCTGCGTATACAATGGAGTAAGTATTTTAAATGTTTTATTTGGGTATAATGATTTTGTTTGTTTTTAAGGTTCCATTTGAAAATTATTGGCATTATTGTATTGTGGAGTTATTTATATTTTGAAGACAATACATTATTTTTATTATTATTAACATTCTTTTATCTTCAATATTCATGGGCTGCGTATACAATGAAGTAAGTATTTTAAATGTTTTATTTGGGTATAATGATTTTGTTTGTTTTAAGGTCCCGTTTGAAAATTATTGGCATTATTGTATTGTTGAGTTACTTATCATTTGATGGAAATCTATTGCCAATGTATTCATTATTTTTATTATTATTATTTTATTTATTTCTTAAGGATTTCTTAAAGCGTTGGGTACAGAGATATATCTCTGGTTGGGTACAAGTGCCTCAGGAACAAAGGTGCTTTGGGGAGTACAAATGCCCTGAATGTAGGAAAATATGGATGTCATCTTATTCTTGGTCTAATATTGGGCAAGAATGCTTCAACTGTCATATCAATGTTTTACCACATAAACAGGTAAAAAAAATAATATCATAAAAATGCATTAATAGTTAGATAGATGGTTGGGAAATTACTAATGTTTTTACAAGCATTTATAAAAAAAGTTTTGAAATCCGTTAATAAATAACGAAGCTGTTTGACATATCCCCATAAGTGAAAAACTGTTGAAAAAATATAAGACAATAGTTATTTTTTATCAAAATTTTTAAATAATACGGTCAGTCAAGTCTAAATAATTTAAAGTATCATCATCATCTATCATTTTTGCATTTTTTACAATACAGGGTGTTCCCAAAATGGCGCACTAACTCCGCGTCGCTTGGTGACGCGAGTTGACAGTAGGTACCAACCCTGTAAATAAAAATAGCCCTAAAGTAGCCGCATTATCACCCTAACCATTTTTATGTAGATTTACATTAAGAAGATTATATATATATAATATATTATTATATATTATTATTATTATATATATTATATATTAAGAATATAATCTTCTTAATTTACATGAAAAACAAATTTTTATGTTTTATTGTAGCGTCCTCTGGGCATTAATAGAGCACCCTCAGGACTTTGGTCACAAATGCAAAAAACTTGGTTATTGCTGCAGAGAATATTCTCTATTATATAATCCAATAATAATAATAATTATTATTATGACAATTATAGAATATTATTAAATAAATATTATATCGAAAAAAAACACCTTTAATAGGATTTTTTTATTTACCCAAATTAATTAACATACTGATATAAATAAACATTACATAACACCATATTAAATTTAAATATCCCAGAATTCATCCTATTGGTCCATTCAAGGTTTGATAACACAGATCGCTGTAATACCGACACTGTCATGGACATGCCAAGTCAAAAGTATGGTTATTTTTAAACGAAATTAACGAATTTGAACCGAAATACTTGGAGAAAACACTAAATTTACGATGAAGCAAGTATTTTAGATGTTTTTAGTTCTATTTGTGATAATTTTGTTTGTTTTAAGGCCCCTTATTAGAACTGTTGCTTTGACTGTGGGTTTTACCATTTTTGGATTGTCCAGCTACCTATTTTATTTGGTATTTCTTAAGGATGAGGACGACGATTACGAACAAACCGTGTCTAAGGCTTCGAACTTCAAAACCCACGAAGTTAAGGTCCCTCGAGATCAAGTCAAGGTTCTAATTGGGCGAAATGGTCAAAATATCAAAAGAATTCAAGATCAGTCGAGTACAAGGATAAATTTCAAGGATAGAGAGGGTTTTGACGACAAAATCTGCATTATAAGAGGTTCTTTAGAGTCTTGTAATGTAGCTGAAAACTTAATAAGGGATTTTATTAAAAGTCAACCTGTTATGGACTGTGAAGACATTTGGGTGCCTATTAGTTCAGTAGGGAAAATTATAGGGCGTTGTGGGGATAAAATTGTGGAAATTCGCAGCCAATCCGGGGCTAAAATCAACGTAGTGGATGAGGATAAAGATTTAAAGAATAAACAGATAACGATTAAAGGCACTAAGGAACAAATATTGGTAGCAAAATCATTGATTGAGGATATTGTTGAACACACTATTGAAATGCAGACCAAAATGAATAACATCCTCGCTAAACGCGAACCGAGGGGCCCCTCCAGGGTCGCACATAACTCCAATTCGACAGAGGCCCCAAAAAAAGAAAAACTGCCTGAAACTCAGCCCAACACGCAGTTTGAAGTTTACGTTTCTGCAGTCAAAGATCCGTCGCAGTTTTGGGTGCAAATTGTGGGGCCCAAAGCCTCTGAGCTTGATATGCTCGTCGAGGAAATGACAGAGTATTATAATAAGGAGGAAAATAGAAATTTGCATTTACTCGATGAGATAAAGGCGGGCGATTTGGTTGCAGGGATATTTCAGTATGACAACAAATGGTAAGTTTATTTATTAAAAAAATCATAGTGGATTTTTTAAATGTTGGGCGCCAATTTGTTAAAATCGTAACTTTGTCATTTCTGAAGCTACCTATTTTTATAGTAAAAAAATGCAGATTAAAAAAACTTGTACAATTTTTTAGGTACAGAGCTGAGGTCATTAGTGTTGACGATAAAACTAAATCGGCCGATTTGTACTATGTGGACTATGGAGACACTGATACAGTTGACAGCAAGGAAATATACGAATTACGCACTGACTTTTTAAGCTTGAACTTCCAGGCCATCCAATGTCACCTATCCAGAGTTGGTGTGTATACATAGAAATGAAAGTTATATTTGTGTATTTTAAATTGTTAACTTTATAGCTCCAGTGGGTGAAAATTGGTCATTAGAAGCAATAGATAAATTCGAAGAATGGACACACACAGCTCAATGGAAAAAACTATCAGCCAGAATCAGTGGGTATACCAGCACAGAAAAATCCAGGAACAAAAGAAGCTCTTCACCCATACCATCAGTGGAAATATTCAATGTAAACGACGGTACCGATATGAATGTAGGTGAAGAATTAATAAAAAACGGTTATGCAGTTCTAAAACCTGAAGCAGACTCACATAACCTCACTAAAGAACCCCAGTTTCAAAACGAGTTGTTCACACAATCAGCCAAAACATCTTGGGTGTGATTTTGATGCCATACATTTCTATAGATCAATGTTAAATCATACATTTTCGTTTAATAGTAGTTGAAAGTTGTAAATAATTACTTTTTAATTTCATTTTTAGTATTTTTCATAGGAATTACTTTTTAAGTTTGTGATATTTTTAATAAAAGTAACCAAGTTTACAATAAACCACATACCTTGTTTTCTTTGATAACCCTGCAACCTTTGAATCACTTTATGTTTTTGTTCTGTGATTTTACGTTAAAAAAATTCAAATGGTAAAATCATGTCACAACAAGCCATAAAAGACAATTATTGTGACATTAAAGGTTCCTGTAATAAATAGTTAGTTTGATAAACACACAAAAGATGTCAGCGTATGCAAAATTACTTATTTACTAAAAATAGGAAAAATTAAGCATACCATTTGCATAATCGTTACAAAAATTGTTAAAAAACCGTTTGTAATGCTTAAAAAATGCAAAAACTGCAGGAAAACGGCCTCATTCGCATAAAATCCCTTTTACACTATTGCCACATTCACTTTGACATTTGAGCGATTTATTTAAATTTTTGAATATAAACCCACGATAACAATGTGATTTAGTACGGTCTACTATGTTGATGATATAATAGATTAAATATATTAACAAATAGTTTTTTTGAGGAAGTTTTTTAATTTGACGTTTTTTTGTGTTTTTCAACGTTTGGCAACATTCTTCCGGCATTTGGCGGGACAAGCGTCATAAGGCTGTCGGTGATAACCGTGTTTTTTGGAGTTTTTATACGTTTTTAAGTGGTTCTGAAGTAAAAATGGGAGATAAAGGAGACGCAGGTATGTAAATAAACTAAAATCCAGCATCAATTTATCCAAATTAGACTGTGAAAACTGTATGTTGGTTTTGTTATACCTTGACTATTGTCTGGGTGTTTTAGTATGTTTTTTGGTGTGTATTCATGTTAATAAGTTGAACCTTGCGTCCGCAGAGACTTTCGACGATGCGGTGGAAGAAAGGGTGATCAACGAGGAGTACAAAATATGGAAAAAAAACACACCGTTTTTGTACGATTTGGTGATGACCCACGCGTTGGAATGGCCCTCGCTGACAGCCCAATGGTTGCCCGACGTGACCCGACCCGACGGCAAAGACCACTCCATCCACCGACTGATTCTGGGCACGCACACCTCAGACGAGCAAAACCACCTCTTGATAGCCTCCGTGCAGCTGCCCAACGAGGACGCGCAGTTCGATGCCTCGCACTACGACAACGAGAAGGGCGAGTTCGGCGGGTTCGGTTCCGTGTCCGGCAAAATCGAGATCGAGATCAAAATCAACCACGAAGGGGAGGTGAATAGGGCGCGGTACATGCCGCAAAACCCGTGCGTAATCGCGACCAAAACCCCGTCCAGCGACGTGCTGGTGTTCGATTACACCAAGCACCCCAGCAAGCCCGACCCCAACGGCGAGTGCTTTCCGGATTTGAGGTTACGGGGGCACCAGAAGGAGGGTTACGGGTTGTCGTGGAACCCTAACCTCAACGGGTACCTGTTGTCGGCCTCCGATGATCACACGATTTGTTTGTGGGACATAAACGCGAACCCCAAGGATAACCGGGTTATAGACGCGAAAACTATTTTTACCGGGCATACGGCTGTGGTTGAGGATGTGGCTTGGCATTTGCTGCACGAATCTCTCTTTGGAAGTGTGGCCGACGACCAGAAGTTGATGATTTGGGATACGCGTTGCAACAACACCTCCAAACCCTCCCACACGGTGGACGCCCACACAGCCGAAGTGAACTGTCTTTCGTTCAACCCCTACTCGGAGTTCATCCTGGCTACGGGCTCCGCGGACAAAACGGTCGCGCTCTGGGATTTACGCAACCTAAAACTGAAGCTGCACAGCTTCGAGTCGCACAAGGACGAGATTTTCCAGGTGCAGTGGAGCCCCCACAACGAGACCATCTTGGCGTCGTCCGGCACGGACAGGAGGTTGCACGTCTGGGATCTGAGCAAGATCGGCGAGGAGCAGAGCACGGAAGATGCGGAGGATGGCCCCCCCGAGTTGCTGTTCATTCACGGTGGACACACCGCCAAGATTTCCGGTAAGTTGTAGCCCCGAAATTTGCCGTTTTCCTCTCGAAATTCCTCGTTAAATAGGTTATTTTTTTATGCTAGATTCCGTCAATATTTCTCTTCAAAAGTTTTTGTTTTAACAGGGTGTCTTGATAATTAAATTAGATTGATTATTATCCATAAAATTTCGTCCTTTGAGTTTCTTTGTTTAAAAGTTCTTTGATTGGTCATAATTGGGTTTCATTTGGGATCTGAGAGTGCTACTGGGAGGGCGTCACTCAAGAATCGTTTCATTAAAGCGTGTCTGGTAAAAAATTGATTTATTTTCGTTGATATCTTTTAAATAAAGCAATAATCACCAAGTATAATACTAGAAACAAAAATACTTAAAACAATGCATTTTCTTTAAACACAGGGTGTTGATAGCAATGTGGAAATTTTTCTCTGAAAAAGTTTTTAAAGTCTCACTTTCTCTTAAAAAGTCTGAATATGTCAGACTAATAGCAAGATTTGGGATTCTTCTAGAAGAGTTAATAAGACTTTTAGCAGAGAAATGGTAGGATTAAAATAAATATCCGGAATTATTCAGAGAGGTTGTATTTGATTATTATAAAATAAAACACAAAGAAAAGTATTTATTAACATTTTGCCGGGGTGATAATAAGCCAAGTTTATTGCATAATTACCTATATAATAACATATTTCAGGTGTAATAATTATAACAATTATAATTTTTTACATATGATGCGCTTGACTTGCTTTCATTGTTGCCACTGTACGTTTTATTTTAATAGTTTCTTTTTATACGCAAATATTCATCTAATCCACAACTCACACAACAAAGTCTGTTCTTTAGCAGTTCGCACAGATTGAAAATCACCAAATACTTGCCGCCATATTGTTCCAAACACTTTTTAGACACAATAGGTGCGTTATTTTCGCCTGAGATCTGAGCTCACTTCAGTTAATGTGATATGAGATGGTGTGATGTGAGTAAGCATTAAAAAGAACGACACACTCATTGAAACGCGCAATCTGACGGCGCACAGTGGGGTATTTGAGCGATCTGGGCGGTCAAAATTTTTTAGTGGTTAAATTGGGTCGAATTTTAATATCCTGCTGCTTTTTAGTAAATTTAATAAAATTTAAAGGATAATTGGCAAATATTTAAAGAAAATCAAACAAAATTAATTATCACAAATAAAAACTTTTTGGAAATTAATGACGAGTTAGTCAGAAAATGAGTTGCCTTCGTCAGACATTAATTCAGTATCATCTTTAGTTTCCTCGTCATCAGAATTCTGTACCGTATCGCTTTTTGCTGGAAGTTCAGCAGAAAGCAGCATTTCAATGATTTCCTTAACCCTTCGTTAGGCGCCCGGTATTTTGTAAAGCGGTTGGTCGCACGGTATACGATCGTAGCCCATGTTGAGTTTATTACTATGTGACCCCTTATATCTCAAATCATTAAAAATGTTAAAATATAAGTTTATTTATGAGTATACTTTGATAAACTGTATACTTTACATCAAAATATATGTATAGGAAGTGAAAAACAAAATATTTACATTTTTATACTTTAAATATCACGTAGATGTTTATTTAAAACAATAACAAAAAATTTAACAAAACATGTAGTAAACTAAACCTAACATACCAATATACATACAAAAAAATTCACTTTATTACAACCCTTAGAAATGGGGGTATGAAAATGACAATATTTTTACTCGGCCAAGCAGGTAATACACAAATTTTCCATGTGTTCTTTGCATGCGTGATGGCCACAAGCATCTCTTGTAGACTTGTCACGGGCAAACATGGCATTGGCCAACATAATTTTGACGTTCATGCCGAATGGAAAGGGGGGCTAAAACCACTTCCAATCCAAGAAGAGTACCCGCTCGTCTTTTCAGCTCCACCGCGGTAAAGAGACAACAGTTGATCTTACTTCTATCTGTGGCCTGATTAATTTCCAGGCAAACTTCTCAATAAATTCAGTTCTAGATAGTTTTTCTTGGGGATGGTTTGCTTTATAAACGCAAAGGGCATTTATACCAGCTATATTCAAAAGATCATAGAAAATGACCTCCACATCTACACTGTTACACTTTTTTTTGTGATCTCTCACTTAATTCTTGAAATATTTTCTTAGGCCGCCCCGGTCGACTAGTAACTTTCAAAATTGTAAATTTAACTTTCAACAAATCTTTATTGTTTTTAGTAAAAGTTTCCTCTTTATTATATGCTGCAGCCCATCGAAATTTTATTTCAGACTTGAAACGTGAAAAATTATTCTTGATTTCCTTTATTTTGTCAACAGTGTAATCGTCATAACCTATCAGGAAATTTTCCATGAAATCAAGTTTCTCATTAATTGTGGGAACATTTTGTTTCTGCATCATGTTGAAAAGCTTAATTCGAGTAAAAACTTTGACGTTTGATGGACCTAAGAGAAATAAAAAATCATTAGAAACATAAATCAAGATTTGCTAAATAATTGTCATTTCGAACCTTTACAGGTTGGACACTCTGATTTCCAAAAAACAAGTGATTCCGTGGCAGTTTTAAGCGAAGTCGTAAACATGAATAATCATGATATATGATACAAGTTTTTATTTTGGCGGGGAACTCCGGGAAGTACAACTAATTTGGTCCTTTTTAAAAATTATAAGCCAAACCAAAAGCAATAACAAGCTATTTTAAATTTCACATATAAGGCTCATAATAGAAACTTATCTTAATAAAAATACCTGAAAAGTATGCTCACTTACCTGCCATCGTATAATCCAAAACAATACACTTGAAATTAAAACACAAAACGAAACTATCACCTTTGAAAAATAATAATTTTGAAGTAACGCCGCAAACAACAATTTCACTTCAAATGTTAAAAGTTTCGACTGACTGTGAAGGTATGTTTACACGTGTGGGACGGTAATAATAGTAGATTATTGTTCTCTTATGATCATTCTTTCGAGGAATAATTTGTTTTTCTACCCGAATTTACTTTTTTAAAATCTATTTTTAACCGCCCAGATAGCTTAAATACCCCTCTGTGCGGCGTATACGTGAATAAGAGGCAATGGTTTTCTATGTTTAAATTTGCGTTGAATTATGGATAATACAAAAATAATAATAAAGGTTTTATTTGATGAAGACGATGAAGGTGATAAAATGACATAAAATAAAAATAAAAAAAAAAACTTCACTGACATGTTTTGTTTAATTTTATTGTAAAAAGTGTTTTTCTAGCTCTGAAAAGCAATTTTATACGAATTTTATTTATTATATTATGTTTATAGCTAATTTACAAAATTAATAATTTTTATGGAAATTTAAGTTTTATTGCATAAAACCACCTAAATAAGATTAGGCTCGAGATTAGGTTATGTTATTTAAAAACTTAACAAATCAATAATTTCTTTATCCCCTCCACTTTATATTATTACTTAAAATGCATAATTATTAAATTCTATATAGTATATCCTGTTAAATTTTTATTTACAAATTTAAATTAATTTAATTATTTTTTTAAATTAAAACAAGGCGAATGCGCTAGTAAATTTAAAATATAACTAGTTTTTTATTATTTGTCATTTTTGGTCGGGAACTTTTATGACATTCATCCGGCAACACTTTATAAAACACATGAAGCAATGAAATATCAACCATATTTGTTTTATAATCTGTGTATGACTTCGACTATGGACCATATCACGCCTATGCGTTGCGAATAATTGTTATAGTTATTATACCTTATGTACTTAATCAACAAGGGATATGTATTTACACAAACCAACCGTATCATCTCTCAACTGTTTTATTCTGTTCAATTAAAATAAAATTTGTTTACCTATATTGTAAACATTGTTTCCGTGTTTTTATAAGTCTTATAACAACACAAAAACAGTGTTTATAAATACTTTTCATTGTGCTTTCTTTTGCAATAACCAAATACAACATCTCTGAATAATTCCGGATATTTATTTTAATCGCTATATGTACCCACCTCTCTGCTAAAAGTCTTAAAAAGTCTTATTAACCCTTACAGAAGACTCCCAAATCTTGCTATTAGTCCGACTTAATAAGAGTTATTCAGACTTTTACGGCTTAATAAGTATTATTCAGACTTTTTAAGAGAAAGTAAGACTTTAAAAACTCTTATTAAAACTTTCTCAGAGAAAAATTTCCACAAGGGCTGCACTCGCGTAAAATGAACGTCTTTCATAACCCGCCGAAAATTCGCGTGCAACTTCCCTTGTGCTCTTCCTACTATTGGCATCAAGGGCATTCAAAATAGCTTCTTTATTTTCCGCTGTTCTAATACGTTAAATTCCTCGAAATATGTCTTCTAATTATTTTTTACAGATTTCAGTTGGAACCCCAACGAACCGTGGGTGATATGCTCGGTCTCCGAGGATAATATAATGCAGGTATGGCAAATGGCGGAAAACATCTATAACGATGAGGAACCCGAGCAGCAGGCAAGTGATATCGAAACGGCCGCGAATTAGTCCACATTTTCCACAATTTTTTTTATCGTCGTCTATAATAATTTTTATTTATGTCTTTAGTATTTTTCTTTATAATTGTGACTTCCACATAGTTAGTTATAAATGATCGTTTTTTAATGTGTGTAAGTTAAGTAAGGTACAAAAATAATACAAAAGTAATTGTTCTGCTTTTATTTTGTTAATTTTAAATACAATTTTTATATTTAGACTGTCTGTTTTTTATTTTTTTATTTAACCTTAAAAATTACATTTTCGGACCTGTAAAATGTTTTTGCAGCCCCTGCCAAACTTTAAAGTAATCTGCATCCAACTTTTCGCATGTTTTGGCGCCCCATTTGGTAACGGCCAACCCCAGGCAACTTTCAAACATAAATGCCTAAAAAACAAATTAAAAAATTTAACGTAACCCCACGATACACAAAAACATGTGACGTCACGTGCGAACCATATTCAAAGTAAAAAAAGCAGTTGAGAGATTTTTTTTACTTTTGACACTTAAAGCGGGCTTGCATTATTATTACCTGTATAAATGCATTTTTATAATTTTGTTACCTTTCACATAAAAAAAATGTAAAATTCGGTCTAGCGTAAGTTAATTTAATAAAAAATATTTTGAAAAATTATAATAGGAAGGTAGGATATTTACTGTTGCTTAAAATATGTTAAATTAGTGTTGCTGCCAATTTAACTTTCTCTCAACATTTCTTACAATTAATAATTGCACCCAGTTACCAGCCAGCTTTTGGTTCGCACATGAAGTAAAGTTAAGTAATTTATTGTCCTCAAATGACCTAAAAAAGTATTGGACTAGTCCAGGTTACATAGTAATAAATACACAATATTAAGACTAAATTAAAACAAAAAAACAAATATTTTAAATTACATATTTAAGTATAACACTGTAAAAAGATTTTTGTATTAAAAACTGGTGCAGTTATCTTTTAAAAATATTTATATTGTTTATGCATTTTAGGTGTTGGGGAAGTTTGTTATAAAACTGAATTCCGGCATATACAGGATTTTGCTCATATTATGTGCTAGTACTGTGTTTAGGAATCCTGTATTCATTCTGGGATCTAGTGTTGTACGTGTGATCATAGTTGTTGATTATAAATAAAAATGAATTACTTTTAATAAAAAGTAATACCTCCTTAATATAAATACACGGTATTGTTAATATATTTAGTTCCTTAAAAATGACGTCACACAGTGCGAGAGAGATAGCTATAACATGCGTAACCCCCAGAGATATATATCTCTGGTAACCCCAAAAAAACCCTTACCTGTGTATTATCGGCAACCCTGCACGGTTTCAACGCCTCCTTGCTCGCACCTTCGAAACAGTTGAAGTCGGGGCCGTGCGGCGTCATGATGCTGTGCAAGGTGGCGCCCCCTGGTTGAAACGCCCCCTTTTTGGCCTCGTACTCGCCCAAAATCAAACCCATGAACTCGGACATGCAATTTCTGTGGTAGTAAGGCGGTCTGAAGGTGTGTTCCTGCACCGACCATCTCGGGGGAAATATCACGAAATCCGCAATGGCAGTGCCTTTTTTCTCCGATTGACAGGTTAAAACAGTAAAAATTGACGGATCCTATAAAAAGTCAAAGTTTTAAAAACTCGTTTTTGAACTCTTTAAACTTACACAGTGGTCAAAAGAAACCGAATTTATGACCATAAACTTCCCCAAATCGTACTTATAGGGCACGTAGTTCCCATGCCAAGCCACCACATCGAACGGACTGTGATCCATGCGACAAACAAACATTCTCCCTTGATATTTGACAACCACCTCGTAGTTTTTGACGTCTGAATCCTCGTAGCAAGCCACGGGTGTCAAGAAGTCCCTGGGATTGGCCAGACCGTTCGCGCCTATTGGTCCCAGATCGGGAAGGGTGAAGTGCTGGCCGAATACTTCGAGAATGTAGCCCCTAGATGGCTCTGCAAGGTCGACCGTAAAGCGCATGCCCTGTTGTATGACAGCTATTTCGTTGGGTTTGACTGTCATTTTTCCGAACTCGGTTTTTATTGATAGAGTGCCCTTTTGGGGTACTGAAAAAGTTTTTTATGTATACTAAATGTTTGTGGGTTTTTTTAAAGTAGGTATACCTACTGTATACTGTATACAGTTCATTTTTTTTTTATCTGGACTCGTGTTTTTTTGATAGGTTGGTTGCTTATGCCAGTTTGACTTGGTAGGTATTTTTAGTATTTAAAAATGTTACTTCTGCTAAAGAATTTAATTAAATACTTTGACACTGTCAAATTGACAATAATATTTATTATTGATAATTATAAATAAAAAGATAATTATGCAAAAATAATAGCAACGAATTCGAATGTAAAAGCCCTTTTGGGGGCAAAACTTCATTTTGATGAAATTATGCCACATTGGAATAAAAAGTACATCGCCTTATGGACATTTTTGGAGTAAAAAAGTAACGAATTTGGTTTTATAAATATTACATCACACATTATTTTCACATTATTCACCATTGGACAACATTTACGTTCAAAAAAAAAATTAATTTCTTTTATATAAATTCTTTTCAAAGCGAAGATTATTATCCGCTAGGAATACTTTCTCTTCTGGGCCTTAAAGCAACCTATATTTAACTACTTTTTTTATATGATTTTACTCATTCAAGCACCACCAAAGCCAAATTAATTGCATTTTTAACTACGAATTTCGACAACTCAACTTGACAACTGCACAATGTAACCTACAATGATTTATACATAACCACAATTAGATTTATAACTAGCTAAGTTTGTTTTAATCAATGCGACCAACTTGACAACTATTTACCAACCAAAACCCTAAATTTGCAACGTTGCCGCAGTCCAGATAAAAAAAATGAACTTTACCTATAAGAAAATCTCCATCTGAGTTTGAGAAAGCACGATTTAGCATGTCAGTGTTACAAGAATAAACATGTATGGCTAAGCCTTGTTTCAATTTTGGATCACCAGCTCCACATATTGTATTAATGCCTTCCACAAAGTCTGTTTTTACTTTTGGAATGTCAAAAGGTTTCCATTTCAACTAAAAAAATACTTAGCATTTGTAGATAAATTATTCATTGTTTACAGATTATTTAAATCTAATCTCAAGGCCTTTAATCTCATGATAAACTCTTACCTGATTTGGATCAGGATCTTCCTCATCCCAGTTATTGACAACCCCACTGTTGGAAAACTTTTCAAAAGGCCTATGTTTGACAGAGGGCCTTATCCTATAAAACCAAGTCCTTTTATTTTTACTTCTGGGTGCTGTAAACGCAGAACCTGATAATTGTTCAGCGTATAGCCCATAGGGGCAAACTTGGGGTGAGTTTTGCCCCTTTGGGAGTGACTCAGGACATCTGGGGTCTTCAGAAGAGAATTCCGAGTTAAAACCGCTTAAATACTGAAGTAAAAATAAATGAAATGTTTACTTAATATTTAAAAAATAAAAATACCTTTAGATTTTCCATCTCAACTTTCTTTAAACTAAACGTTTGGAAACCAAAGAAGGTATTAAGTATTAATATGTAAATTATATAAAACTTGTTTGAAAACTTAATAGTTTAATTAATTTAAATATTTTATAAACAACTCCTGATAATTTACATACAAGATTTTGTTATTATCATATGATTATAGATAAACAATTCTTGCTGAGTAATAAGTAAACAAATGTTAATTCGTTTGTAGCAAATAAAATGTTGAATTATTATTATTATTACTATTTGTAAAACTGTATGATGGTCATCTAGTTTTCTGTAGTTAAACCTTAGCTTAAAGATACCTTAAGTATTTTTGATAAAAAATGTACCCATTTGAAATTTAAAAAAATAAGGCTTTTTTCAAATCATTTTAAAAACTGAGGAATTGATGTTTTTTTATCAAACAAATATTCAGTAATTTTTTTCTAAAAAACATTTTAGTTTAAAAATAACATTAACTTTCTTCTTAAAAAAATATTCTATGAAATTTTTTATTTAAAAAAATATTTTTTTCGAATTGAAAAAGGTTTTCGTTCAATGATGAAAATTTTCGAAAAATATTTGCAAAAAACTTGATTTTTAATAACTCGAATTATTATAACTTCTAGCCCTACCATTGCAGTAAAAATGTATTTTTTATTTTTATTTTCGCGTTCCGAACAAAAAATTGGTATCGAATTATAATTCGATAAAATAAAATAATAAAATAATTATTTTTCGAAAGTATTAATAAAAAAAACATTAAACTGTCAAAAAAAATTCATCCAATCACTGCTAACTCGTAAGTTGTCAATTATTATTTAAATATTTAAAAGAATATTTGATAACTAATGTTGTAAAATTCTTAGATACCTACTAAAAATAATAAAGAATTATAAAGGAATTTGAAAAAATAATTTTTGAAGTGTTTTTAGTTAAGTTATTTTCCACAGATTTTTAAAATTATTTTTGTTATTTTTGACAATTTGACGTCGTTTGGGGGGAAGTGAAAATTTTTTCTAAAAAAAGTTAAAAAATTACCCTTTTCACCACCATCAAAAACTTACCTTCCCATTATTTTTTTTCAAGTTGTTATTCATCTTCAGAATGAAGTATTAAAAAAATACACCAAATTAAATACTACTTCCATTCACCCCATTTAGAGGGCCAATAAAAAATCTTTAATTAAAAAAAACTCAACTTTGTTAGAAATTATTTTATTTCACTGAAGAACCAAAACAGTCTTAAATAGTGAACAGATTTAAAGAGATTGTATGTCACTGTACGAGTTAAAAAAACATGTTAGCAAATTTAGACTTAACTTAGCCGTAATCTAAAAACTTAACAATGGGGGAACGTACAGAGAAAAAAATGAGGGGGGGACACGAATGATTGAAGAAAATTCATAAATAGCGGACTAACACAAATTTTTCCTTAAGAAAATCATTATTTTGTACACAGTAAATATTTTACACTGGGTGGCCCAAATAGAAGCGATAAAAAGCACGACAAATTTGCGTTTGTTGTGTTTTTCCCGTGCATCGGACCAGTGCAGTGGATCTTTAGATCCGTTTAAAATAAAAAATGCCTTTAATATATTAATAAACATTGAGTATGTAACTATGACATGCATAACCTACGGTTTTTATGTATATTTATATTTTTTTATTTTTGGTCGCCGTTATCTGCAAACCTCAGTACCTCAACAAAACAACATGTTCAATTTTTTATGGGGGTGTGTGTGGAGGGGGGGTGGCCCCCCCAAAAATCGACGTTCAGGATTATCGCGGTTTTTGAGGGGGCCGCGGGGTCCCGCGCACTTGGAGGGGGGACCGTTTCTTTTATGCTACACGATTTAACAATTCTAAGCGGATTTTTTTTTTGATATTGCGATTGACATACATTATAATA